GGGGGGGGGGGGGTGGGGGGTGAGCGGTGAGCGCGCACCACGGCGCTTCCCCGGGACAGAGCAGGCAGAGGGGGAAACAGCGGAAATACATTTTGGAAAATGGACAAAGGATTCTGAATGTATTGACGGATTTGCTAAGGGTCTTGCTGATTTATGACTGACTTCCTCATGCGCTTTGAACAGCCTGAAAATCTTTATTTTGCAATAAAGGTGGAAAAAATACAACAGTCCTTTACAAATCGAGGATGATATTATTTTTAAAAAATAAACTTTCCATCCCATAGTTTTGGATTCACAGAAGAATTTAGACAGTGTGCGGAGGGAGTTCGCGCACACCTGCCCCGCTGGCCCTGTTACAACATCTGTGAGCCCGGCTATATTTGTTAAGATTAATGAGCCAAGGGGACACGTTGTTACTGACTGAAGTCTCTACTGTACTCAGATTTCCTTAGGTTTTACCGCTGCCCTTTCCTGTCCAGGACCCCACAGACACCAGTGTCTCCTTAGCGCCTCCTGCTGTGCCGGTTTCTCAGACGGCCCTGTGGGTGACCTTGACCGTGTGAGGAGGACGGGCAGGGATTCTGTGGGGGGCCCCTCCGCTGGGTTTGTCCGGGGCTCCTCCCGTGGAAACAGGAGGTCTGTGGAGTCAGGGTTCGAGGACACAGGTGGAGTGTCCTCCTCCCGTGCTGCCCACACGTCTGACTGCGCGGCGGTGCCTGAGCGCCTGGCGGGTCCATAGAAACTGGCTCTGCAGGCAGACCCGGTGACGTGACTGTAGGGGCCCGGCGCTCCCGCCCAGCCGCCCTCCTCACACGTGGGACGGGGTGGAAGGTCACGGAACAGGCGGGGCCGTGAGCTGCCAGCAGGGCTGAGGGGCTGGGACATTCGGGAACCAAAGGGCCCTGTCTCACCTTTGCCCCCAGACCTGACAGCTCCCACCGGGCTGCCTCGTGGGGACATGGAAAACGTGTTTCTGAAATGAATAAGGTCCCAGCAGACACACAGGCAGAGGCTTCTGGGTAAGAACGTCCCCGGTTCTGCGTGGGGCCAGGTGAAGCTCCGGCCCCGGATGGAAACCCGTGGCCCCAGGTGCCCTGCGGGGCTGCTGTGGACGCGCCTCTGCCACACGCAGCCCTCACGTCCTGGGTGACTTCCAAGCAGTCGGTAGCCGGATTCAAGCAAGACCACGCCTTTTTTCTTTTTTTAAATATATTTTATTGATTTTTTACAGAGAGTAAGGGAGAGTGATAGTCAGAAACATCGATGGGAGAGAAACATCGATCAGCTGCCTCCTGCACACCTCCCACTGGGGATGTGCCCGCAACCAAGGTACATGCCCTTGACCGGAATCGAACCTGGGACCCCCCAGTCCGCAGACCGACGCTCCATCCACTGAGCCAAACCGGCTAGGGCAAGACCACGCCTTTAACAATGTTATTTTTTCCTCAAGGAAAATGACTGTTCTTTTTAAAATAAATCTTTATTGTTGAAAGTATTACATATGTGACTTTTCTCCCCTTGCCCCCCCCCGCCCCCCAAGCCTTCATACCCACCGTCTGTATCTGTGGGTTATGCACACGCGAGAGGCTCAGGCGAAAGCCAGAGCCCAGGGGGCGCAGAGGGGCCCTCAGGCCTGGGGCCCACAGGCTCCTGGTGGTGCTGGAGGGGGAGCCTTTGGAAGAGCGACTCGCCCGGCCAGCCTGGGCCTGCAGCCCGCGGAGGGGAGGCAGGTGGCGCCCATCTTCCTGATGAGCTTCATCTCCTCACGCAGGAAGCGGTTCGGCAGGAACTCGCAGAGCTGAGGGCCTGAAGGTAGAACCGTGGCCTGCAGCGCCCCGAGGGCCTGGCTCAGGCTCCTCTCCGAGGCCATGCGGCCTCCATGGCGCTCACCTTGGGGGGCTCCTGCACGTCCTGGAAGAGAACTGGGTTCGCGGCTTTAAGATGCTCAGCGCCCTCGTGCATCTTCTCCGCCAACTGGAGGAAGAAGGGGCCCCGCCCTGGAGAGCCACACTGTCCCCGTCCCCGTGGGAACAGACGCCCAGAGAGAGGTGGGTGTGGAGGCCGCAGAGGCCGGGCCAGGCGGTGACCGCAGCCTCCACCTGCTGGGGTAATGCTGACGGACCGGGGAGCTCAGGGTTGGGCAGTGAAGAGTTAAGGTAGGAAAACCTGGTGTAGGCTGGTCCCGGAGGAGGTTCTGCAGGTGGAGACTGGATAAGACGCAGGAGGGGGCCGGAGGCTGGGAGAAGGGGCGTCCCTGGAGCAGGAGACAGAGCCAGGCCGCCAAGGGCACTGGAAAACGACTATTCTTGTGTTAAATCCTGCAATAGTGGCCAAGAATTTGTTTTTGTTTTTTAAACAGGAAGTTGTCAGGAAGCGTCATTCTTTTGTTGATTATATCTGCTTTTTAGGACACAAAGTTCTCTTTAATTATTTTTTGGGGAAAGGGACGCCACACTTCTACTCCATTACGAGAAACCTTTTCACCAGCACAGAAGTCTCCGCTACACTCGCCCGGCCCTGGGGCCGCGGGGAGGGTCCCGAGGCGCAGGCTCCTCCGGGAGCTCACGGAGCCCAGAACCTTCCTCTGCGGCCTCCTTCCTTTCTGCTCATTTCCCTTCACACGTTTCAGGAAGCTCTCTCGGCTCTTGAGGGCTTAACAGGCTCAATACGGACACTGACTCCCTTGGCCAGAATCTTGCCCTCACCTGCGCGTTCGCGATGCTATGGCGCGCTGGGTGGCACGCAGCCTCGTCCAGCGTGGCCGTGGGCAGGTTGGTGCGGCCTTCCTTTCTGAACAGCCCATTCCCTCGATGTCCACCGTATCGCCTTCCTTGTAGCTTCGCATGTTCGTGGCCGGAGGAACAAGTCCGTGTTTCCTAAAAGGCCTAGGGGACACGGAGCGCTGCCTCTCTCTCCCTTTGTGCTAGTCATTTTGGTGAATTACTGGAAGATGGTGGTGATATTTTTTAACCTTTTAAAAATAGAGAAGCCACCTTAGCTCCAGGCCGGACAGAACAGGCGGGGTTTGTGCTGTGGGCGTGGCTTGCTGAGCCCCGAGGCTGTGAATCAGGCCCCGAGGCTGGTCCTGGAGCCGAGATGCGGCTGCGGGTCATCCACACCAGCTCAGGGTTTAAACCCACAGTGTGTGTGCGCGCGCTCGTGTGTGTGTGTGTGCGTGTGCTCTCCTGTCCCCAGAGTGTAAGGGGCACGGCCCTGCTGTGGAGGCGGGAAGCCCAGAATCCAGGTGTGAGGAGGGGACCCTCTCGGAAGGCACTTGGCCTCTCTTACCTCTGGGGTCCCTTGTGACCTCGGTGGGTCGTGGCTCCCGTCGGCCTCCATCCTCACCTGGGCCCTCCCAGGCGTATTGGACGATGAAGCGGGCTTTTTGGACTGGAACACGCGGTGTTCCCCAGGCAGGACGGTTCCCGGATTCTTTGTCCGTCGGAGTCGAAGAATGAATCCACGGGCGGAAGGTGTATAGCAAAGGTGGAGGGGGGAAGGGTCCCGCAGAACAGACTCCCACGTGGGGAGGGGAAAGGGTGCCCCTGAGTTCCTTTTCCCTGTGGCTTACGAAGGCTGCACACCTTTGTGCCTTGACATCCCCTCTGATGGGTCACTGTTCCCTTGGACTGGTTACTATAGTAACTCCTGGGTCAAAGGTCAAACCTCACCTGGGACCCGCGAGGCTCTCCCCTCCTCCCTTATTGTTTTCCGATCCCTTTGGCCTTCTTCCTCCTCTGAATGACGGGCTTCCTTCCGCTTCGTGACTGTAGACCTGCTGCTGCTCCCAGCCCTCGTTCTAGGGCAGTGATGGCGAACCTTTTGAGCTCGGCGTGTCAGAATTTTGAAAAACCCCAACTTAACTCTGGTGCCGTGTCACATATAGAAATTTTTTGATATTTGCAACCATAGTAAAACAAAGACTTATATTTTTGATATTTATTTTATATATTTAAATGCCATTTAACAAAGAAAAATCAACCAGAAAAATGAGTTCGTGTGTCACCTCTGACACACGTGTCATAGGTTCGCCATCACTGTTCTAGGGCATGTGCCCATGGCAGCTCCTCAGCTCCCCTAGTCTAGGGAGATACCCCTGCTGCTGCTCTGGTCCCCTTAATTTCTAAAATGTCTTCAACCTGCCTATTTTACCCCCCAAAATTCCTGCTTCAACGAGGCCCGTCTGCTGACTCATCTTAACCAGTTCCATCTGCAAAGATCCTGTTTACAAGTAAGGTGGCCTCCCCAGGGGCCGGGTTAGGGCTTCAGCAGGGTTTTTTCGGTGGAAACCACTCCAGCCGTAACAGGTGGCCACCAAGTAACACGAGGCAGGAAGGACAGCCATGGCTGCGGGGCTGGCCGGGGTGGCGGGGTGAGAGGCCGCAGGGACACGGGGCAGCTGGGATGGGCGGGCAGAGAACAGAACGCTCTTTCAGGAAAGGCATCAGGAGGGGGTGGAGGGAGGGCCGGGCTGGAGAGACCCTTGTCCCTGTGAGCCTCGCTGGGGACAATGGTTCTTTTACTGGAGAAGCTGGATTGAAAGGGAGACCCTCCCAGTGGTGGAGGGGACGGCCAGCCCCTCCCGGAGATCCCTGTTCCCTCTTGCACAGCCTGAGGCGCCTCCACCCTGCACGGCTGTGCACACCCTCCGCGCTCCGTGCTCCCAGCAACAGGGGCGGAGAGATGGGCCAGCCCACAATTTTTATTTTATTTTGTTTGTTTATTTATTGTTTATTTATTTATTTTTAAAATATATTCTACTGATTTCAGAGAGAAAGGGAGAGGGAGGGAGAGATAGACGCATCAATGATGAGAGAGAATCATGGATCGGCTGCCTCCCGCATGCCACACACTGGGGACTGAGCCCGCAACCCGGGCCTGTGCCCTGACCGGAATCAAACCATGACCTCCTGGTTCATAGGTCGACGCTCCACCACTGCGCCACGCTGGCCAGGCCAGCACATGATTTTTAAAAAGTAACTATTTGAATCAAGTAATTGAATAATTAAAAAAATATGTTGCGAAGTCCAGAAAGCTTCGGGGGCCTGGGGTCCAATTGTGTTCTCTTTTGGTGGGACCGGTTCAGGTGGGGTTTCTTTAGCGCCATCAACTGCCGAGTTTGAGGAAACAAGTGGCTCCCGGGCTGGCACCGTCTTTTCCCAGAGCCCACGGTGACACCTGACACCGGGCGGGTGACAGGGAGCAGGAGGGCCAGGCAGCCAAGCTTTGTTTCGGAAGCTTCTCCGGTTTTGGGGCCACACCTTCCCCCACACCTGCATCACCACACCCGTCACCCGGCGGAGGGTAGAGGGAGCCCCGCTCAGCGAGCATCAGTCGATGAAGGCTTCTCTGTGCGGGGGCGTCACAGTCACCCCACGTGGCTTAGGCATCTCCTGCAGGGACCACCACCAGCCGTGGCCCCAACCGCGTGCCCCTCAGCCACCCATCGGAGCCCCGACGGGCTTAGTGCTGCGAGGCCCCGACTGGGGTGGGAAGGCGGTGCCTGTCTGCTGGGGAGCACAGACACCCCAACAGGGCCAAGGGCTCGGTGCTCGAGGCGGCGGGGGAGGGAGGAGGGGCAGGGAGGGGCCATCTTCTGCGAGGCAGTTGCTCCTGTTGGCAGCTTGGCTGGAGGCTCAGCAGGCTGCACGCGGCTCCCCGGAGGCGGAGTTAGGGGCTCCATCCTCCCCTGTGCGGCTGCGCCCCCTCATCTCTGTCCCCACGGCTCCTGTCCGCCCTTCCTGCCCCCAGGAGACCACCTCTTCTCGGTTTCCATCGTCACTTCGCATACAAAGGCCTCCGTCTTCTCTCTCCCAGGGCAGGCTTTTCAGTTTGTTCAGTCGCCCTTAGCGTCGGGCCTGGTGTAGGATGGTCTCAGACACAAGCCGTGTTTACTTTTTCTTTTTACAAGTAAATCGCGGTACAATGCACGCGGTACAGTTCAGCGTGCAGCTCAGTGGCGCGAAGTGCACTCATCTCCCGGCTCTTCACCTGGTGAAACTCTGCCCGTTAGACACTGACTCCCCGTCCCGCCCCTCCCTCTGCCTCCACGGACAGGACTCCCCCAGGAACCTCACACAGAGGGACTCCCCCAGGAACCTCACACAGTGGGACTCACACCTGCAGGAACCTCGCACAGAGGGACTCCCCCAGGAACCTCACACAGAGGGACCCTCACCTGTTCCCCTGGCATCTGGCTCATTGCAGCCCCCGAGGCTCATCCGTGTGGTCGCGCGGTCAGGACCCGTGTGTATGTGCCGTGTGGGCCCGTTTCGTTTACCCGCTTATCTGCCCATGGACGGTAGGGTGGTTCCTGCTCAGAGAGGACTTGGTGACTCATCAGATACTTCCTGAGTGTCTGCTGGGCGCAAGGCACGGCGGCGCTTCTGGGAAAGGCCCGCTTTGCATGTCTTTCGGTTGCCAGGGGACGGGGCCAGGGCACAGCGTTTCAGTTGCAGTTTCCAGCTGGCTGTTAGGGCGCCTGAGACCTCTGTCCCCCCAGGGCCAGGGCCCCACGGCTGCCACGGGGCTTCCAGAACCTTCAGCCCCGCTTTCGTGGTTCTTGGTAGTAAATACTGCATAGCCCCGGGGGTTGAAGGTCTGCGCAGGCCTGGCATCTTACGTCCCTGGTGACGTACCACGCTGAGTGGAGCGCCACTCTCAAAACGACGTTCCTGATTCAAGAGCACAATGTGCCTGTGGCTGCTCAGCCTCCTGTCCTATCAGCCACCGGCCGGCGGGGGCAGAGGCTCACGGGGCACAGGTCCACCTTCGCGCTGTGGACCTGAGCGAAGAACGTGTCTCATTTCTGTGACTGTTTTCACCCGGGACCATGGTCGGCCCGAGGACCCACTTGCTCAGCTGTATTCTAGGTGGTTCTGAAATGAGGTGTTTGCTCTACAGCAGGGGTGGGAGCCTTTTTTTCTGCCAAGGGCCATTTGGATGTTTATTTATTTATTTTAAATATATTTTTATTGATTTCAAAGAGGAAGGGAGAGGGAGGGATAGAAATGAGAGAATCATTGGTCAGCTGCCTCCTGCACGCCCCCCACTGGGGACTGAGCCTGCAACCTGGGCATGTGCCCTGACCGGGAATCGAACCGTGACCTCCTGGTTCATAGGTCGATGCTCAGCCCCTGAGCCACGCTGGCCTGGCACTGTTACCTTTTAGACATTGGTTTGTTTTTAGTGGTGCCATCATCGCGGCCACTATTAGGGTTTTTAGGCAAAAATGAGCAGTAAGGACATCAGTTTCGACAGTCTGCTCCCCAATCTGGGCCAGTGTCTGGTTTTGCACGGCCCATGAGCTAGGAATGAGTTTATATTTCACATGTTTTGAAAAACAGTCAAAAGAAGAATATTTCACAACGTGTGAAAGCGACAGGAGATGCAACTGCCTGAGTGCATGATGCAGCTTTGGTGGAGGCGCCACGCTCGTTTGCTCGTCTGTGGCTGCTTTCCCGCCACAGCAACAACGTGGCGGAGCTGCGACAGGCTGGGTGGCCCCCAAACTCAAAAATCCTCCCTGTCTGGCTCCGTACAGGTTTCTAAATTATATTTGTATTGATTTCAGAGAGGAAGGGAGAGGGAGAGAGAGAAACGTGAATGAGGAGAGAATCATTGATTGGCCGCCTCCTGCACGCCCCTACTGGGGATCGAGCCTGCAACCCCCTGACTGGGGATCGAGCCGTGACCTCCTGATTCATAGGTCGACGCTCAACCGCGGAGCCATGCTGGCTGGGCAGTCTGGCTCCTTACAGACGCCTGCCTAGACCCCTGGCCCCAGCAGTGTTCTTCTGATGGTCTGTGGGGGCCACGTCTCCTGCTCCAGCAGCAGCTGGGACAAGCTCGCTGTCCCAAAGGGCCCCACCCTCCACCCCAAGCACAGCTCTCATTCCCTCACTGCTCCCAAGTCCAGTGTGGGGAGGAGAGCAAAGCCTTCCATCTTTGCAGGCAGGTGCTACGCGTATGGCAAATGAATGGGGAAAGAAATTCAGACTAAAGTGTGAATGTCTAATAGGCCTGCCTTTGTTCTTTCACGCATTGGATGCACCGACATTTTCCAAGGCATTTGCCCTCAGAACGTACAATCTTTTAGGGGCCGTCACCAAGTCTCCACAGAAGACTAGGAACCAGTGCCCGGTGCCGACTTTTCATTCATCCCTCATCTGTAAAACATGCAGGGGAGCCAAGTGCGTCTGTAGTTTAATTTGCCGACGATGCGAAAACATAACTCCGAGGAGCTGCTAGAAAATGCAAATCCAACTTCCCTCGGCTCAAAATTTGCTGAAGTTTCCAAAATCACTGGAGTGAGAGGCCGTCGAGCGCGGCAGCCGGCGGCGCCTGCTTGGCCCGCGTGGGGAGACGTGTTAGCTGCACGGTTTTAAAATTCCAGGCGAGTGTGGTCATCTCTTCACGCTCCCAGCGTTCACCGCGGAAGCCACAGCTCACTCTCGCCCGAGCAGTCACTGAGCAAACTGATGACATCACACTGTTCAGAGGGCTGCCTGACTGTCGCGGGGGCAGCCCGTCTGCAGACGCCTGTCACTCCCTGGAACAGGTTCCCTTTCCTCTCCCGGAGAGCTAGCGCCTCTTTTTAGGTTTTCCAAGGAAACCACTCTTTCTTGTTATGTGAACAGGAAGCAAGGGAAGCCCTGAGGGAAGCAGGCGGCTCTAGCCTCTCTAAGGGCTTGCCCAGCCACCTGCTATCGTAACAGACAGGTTGGTGAGGAATGAAACCCGAAGCAAGTACGGAGAGACCTCACGTTGCCCTGTGTGTGTGTGTGTGGGGGGGGGGGAGTCATTATTCACTCTCCCCCGCAAGGCTTTTGGGAGGCGGCAGTGAGGCAGTGAACCACACTGCGCCCGCCGGTGCCCCGGGCAAGGACGGAGACTCCTTGGGGTGCGCACCTGCTCGCCTGCCCGAGACCACGCCTGGGCCACTGGCATCTCCAGAGGTGCCTCCCCTCCGAGGGTGACCACTTGCGACCTAGGAAAGGCGCCGCCTGTCCTGGAACTTCGAAGGCGTGAATCCACTCCGCGTGGACCCTGGTGTCTGGCCGCTCCCGCTCACATGGTCTTGAGACACGTCCGCGCTGCTGCTCTTCTATTGCTGCGTGGTATTCACTGTGGGAAGAGGGAGAGAGACAGAAACCTCAGTGAGAGAAACATGGATCGCTGCCTCCTGCCCGCCCCTCCTGGGCATCGAGCCCAGGACCCAGGTGTGTGCGCTAACTGGACATGGAACCCGAGACGGGACCACACTCACCCAACGGAGCCGCACGGGCCAGGGCTCCGCCTCATTCCTTTGACGGCCGCTTGCCTGGTTCGCCTCGGCTGAAGTGTTCGGGCAAATTCCACCGTCCGCACGGCCCGGCACCGTCCATTCCTGGGGAAGACCGAGGCCGACGAGATCACAGCGCGTGGGCCCCGCACGCGCTCACGAAATGCTTGTGCCTCGGCCTTAACTCGGCTTAAAAGGAAGTCGCCTCCGTTCAACAGCAAATCGAATGGCTTTCTTTTCTGAGCGGCACTGCCTGCAGCCGACTTCCATAATTCCTCTCCCAGCATGCCGAGCGGTGGAGGACCCAGCTGATGGGGACTGAGATCCTATTTCTGCTTCTTGTTAAATTCTCTTATTAAAAGCCAACGTTTCCGAACTCCAGGCAAACACGTACGGTTACCGCTCTGTAAGGCAGCCTGGCGAGTCCTCCCGGATGAGGACCCCCCAGAGAGAAGGACCCCCCAGAGAGAAGGACCCCCCAGAGAGAAGCCAGTGAGCTCCCCAGGAGCCCTGAGGGAAGGAGGGGAAGCAGGGGAAGCGAGGGGGTTTGGATCATCTGTCACTCCTTCCTCCAGCCCTGAAAAAATGCAACCCAATCCACAGCCAGCAAGTCCACTCTTATTGTCCTCCGCGCACACAGGGGACAAGACAACCCACTACGACTAACACAATAATAAAACACCTCCCGAGCTGCGTTTCACAGGCATCTCCCTTCTCCGGCCCGCAGGTGCGCGGAGATGGAGCAGGCGGAGGCAGGCTTTCAGCCCCAGACCGCAGGGTCGGCTCTCGGCGGATGGGAACCACGTGGCCTTTACTGCTGCTCCGTAAGGTTTCTTTTAAAAAAAATCTTTATTGTTGAAAGTATTACCTATGTCCCCTCTTCTCCCCATTGACCCCGTCTAGCCCGCCTCCTGACGTATGATTTCTTAGTAACAAGCACCACGCTGGCGCTTACGTATGATTATGCTTTTTATACAAACGACGCCTACAAAATCCCAGAGCCTACTTCCCCGGGAGGCCTGGCCACTTCCCCTTCCAGCCGAGTCTCCTTTGTCGTGGGCGGTCCTGCCGGAAGCAGGCGGGCAGCTGTCAGTGCGTGGTTGTCCACTAGAGAAACCCTTTCACGGCGCCACAACATTTTTATTTATTTTTTTAATTTTTAAAAAAACTTTGGTTAATCCTCACCCGAGGATACTTTTCCCATTGCTTTTCAGAGAGGGTGAAAAGGAGGGAGCGAGGGAAGGAGGGAGGGAGAAACATCAGTGTCAGACAAACTGATTGGTGGCCTCTCGCATGCACCCCAACTGGGCTGGGGATCGACCTGCAACCCAGGTAAGTGCCCTTGACCAGAATCGAACCTGTGACCCCTCGGTGTGCGGGCTGTTGCTCTAACCACTGAGCACACCAGCTGGTGGCCGTCATGACATTTTAAAAAAGAGAGTCTACCCGTCAGTGTTTGAGTAGCAGTTAGCAAATGACAGTTGTAAATCCCGTGCGTCCACTGGGAGCCGGACCGGGGACGGAATAGTCAGACACGGGTCTCCCGGGCACTCTCCGTGCGCCCACGCCACCAGGCTGCCTGGTGCTGGGCCCGGGACCGAATTCCCCTTTGCTTTCCCAGACTGCCTTTCTGCTCACCCTCTCCTGGTCACAGCTCCCCACCGGGGGCCTGTGTACGCCCAGGGCAGTGGGAGGCAGGCGTCCGTGGGCCACCCGAAACTACGCAGCCTCTTGTTCGTGCGTTTCCCAGAGTGGACCCCCGTCCTGTGGGTGGGTTCTGAGGGTGGCTGACAGCACCCCCAGCACAGAGCGCGCTGCCGGGCCCGGACTCTGCCAGCACCACTGGGACCTCAAAAGCCCAATTCACAACGTCCTGGGTTCTCCCCAGCTTGCTGAGTGACGCCCCAAATCGGGCCATGGACGCCTCAGAGACCTCTGACCTCACCGTCCCGAACCCCTGCATCCCACTGTTGCCCACGCGTGTGGCTTGCGGCCCTGAAAGGCCACCCACCTGTCCATGCCCTGGCCCCGCCTCTGCTCCCCGGGCGGTTTGGGCCCGGCTGTTTGCGCAGCTTCGGGATTGGGATTGGGACTGGCCTCCGGGGGTTTGCTTCCTTCTGTCTCTGCAGCCGTGGGCGTGCCAGGCCTCAGCTGGGGCTTGCAGTGGCTCAGGGTCCCCGCACAGGTTGCTGACCTCATTCCCTCTGCCCCTCACCTGCCCACCCGGGCATCTTGCCGGTCCTGCCCTGCCCTCCACATCCCCCAGGACGAGGCCCCAGGCGTCCTCTTCTCCCTTCCCTTCGCTTGCGGAGACTTCTCTTGCTTCACTGAAGGCGGGCAAGAGGTGATTCAGCCCTGTCCCAGGTCAGAGGCCCCTCCCGCACCCTCTCCTCCTCCGCTCCCCTCGCCTTCCGGGTTCCTGACTGTGACTCTGGCATCCGTGTCGCTGGGGCCTCTGTCTCCTGGGTGACAGGCTCCCGGAGGGCAAGGCTGTCCTTGGGGTCCATGCGCCGCCCCCAAAGTCAGGGCCTGGCATCCACCCGGCCACCACCAGTGTTTGCTGAGCGGAACAGAAGGAGTTGCTGGGGTGTGAGGCTCTGAGCCTGGCGAAGGGACAAACCTCACCCACCCTCCGAGGTAGACCTGATCGCCCCTTGTCTGGGGGTGGCTGACCCCACCCGTCATGCCCGGCCCAGCCAGAACCGGCCTTAACTCTCCCAGCTCCGCAGCCTGGGGCTCCTCCCTGGGAGGGTCTCCTGGAATCTGTGCACTTCCCTCCTGAGTCCCCACCGGCCTGGGAGCGTTCTCCCTGCCCCTGGCCTTTCTCCTCCACCCGCTGTGCACACGGGAGTTAACTTTGGTCCTGGATCGGACCCTGTCACCTCAGGTCTTCAAACCCTTCCCGCTTCCAGGCTGCCCTGCCCTCTTCTCCCCCGTCCCCTCCCCTC